GGAGGTCTCTATCAGCCAAGTCTAACGTACTATTTTCCTGGTCTTCTCAGTGGACTGCTCAGTTTCCTGACATCTCATTAATGAAGCCTCACTTGAAACACTGCTTCCTATTCTGAGGTGCTCTCCTCGCTCTCCACATTCTCTCTCATCTTATCCGCAGGTGGTAGGGCACAGCAGCTAAGGGTGTGGGTTATGGAGCCAGACTCTCTAACTTCTCCACTTACTGTGTGATGGTGGGTATGGAGCCTTTCTGGGCCTGTTTCCTCTTCTATAAAAACAGGGATAATAATGGTACCTTATCCCTAGCATGGCTGGAAGGATTAAAACTAACCCATGTAAAATATAGTAAGTATTTACTACCTGTCATTTACCGCTACTATTACCTGACCACTAAATGTCATGGCCCCAAGGTTTGGGTTTTGGCTTACTTTCCTTCTAATTTATACCTTAAGCTCTCATTTCCCTCTCTCATTGTGTAAATAACTACCAATATACTCATGGCTACCAAATAGGATCTGATCTAGACTTTCTCCTGCACTTCAGAATCAGCTGCCAGTTGGACATCTCCACTTCTATATCCCAGAAATGAAACTCATGTATTTATTTTGATTTATCATCCCACTGTCTCACCCCCCTCCAACCCTGGCCTCTGCCTATAGCCCCAATCACCCAGTCACCTAAGCTCTTATCTGGGTGTTAAATTTGACTTTTCCCTCTCTTTCTCCTCCCAAACATAATCTCCAAAACCAAGCCCTGCTGATTTTACCTCCTAAATATTTCTCCTTCCTTCTTCTGACCCCCATTCTTTCTCACCTGCCTGAATTATTGCCAAAAGAGCCACCTAATTGGTCTCCCTCCAGGCATCTCAGCCATTCAAAACCATCTTTCGAAACACCATAGGTTGATCTTTCTCAAACACGAGTCTGTTTGTCACCATCCGTCCACTCCTTAAAGTCTTTAGTAGTTCCCAATTGCTTAGAGTACAAATACCAAATTCTTGGCATGGTATACAAACAAGGGCCTCTGCAGTTGGGCTACTGGCTCCCTAGCTAACCCCACATACATTTGACTCTGGAATATATACTTATAGAATAGGCATATACACAACTTCATACTTTCATAATTGCTCATGAAAACTTGGTTCAGACTTCCTGCTATCCCTTAACTCCTCTCTAAAATGCCACCCTTCATTTAGCTAACTTCTATAATTTCTTTAAGATTTACCTCACATATTACTTCCTTACCTGACCTCCTAAGTCATATTTCCACTGTGATGGATACCATTCTTTAGTGTTACAGGAATATCCTGTACAAGTATTTATCATCTGATATTATCCTATCAAATTATCTGTTTACATATCTGACTTTCCCATTAGCTTGTAAGGTCCAGGGGCATTGAAAATACACCTTATCCATCATTTTATATACAATAGTCATGTGTCACTTAACAACACGGATATGTTCTGAGAAATGTGTTGGTAGGTGATCTCATTGTTGTGTTAACTTTATAAAATGAATTTACACAAACCTAGATGGTATAGCCTATTGCACACCGAGGCTGTATGATATAGCTTATTTCTCCTAGGCGACAAACCTGTACATGTTACCGTACTGAATACTGTAGGCAGTTGTAACACAATGATAAGTGTGTATCTAAACATAGGAAAGGTACAGTAAAAATATAGTACAAAAGATTAAAATGGTGCACCTGTACAGGGCACTTACCATAAATCAAGTTTGCAGGACTGGAAGTTGCTCTAGGTGAGTCAGTGAATGAGTGGTAGTGAATGTGAAGGCCCAGCACATTACTGTACAAGACTGTAGACTTTATAAATATCATACACTTAGGCAGCACTAAATTTAGAAATCAACATGAGATTAAATCAAGCTCAAGAGAAAATGATGCAATCAAGAGATGCAGTAAATGTGCCATACTGTTTTACATCAAACTTTTTCTTTAACATGTAGCAAGAGATCGCTCTAAAATAATGATAAAAAGTATAGTAAATACATAAACGAGTAAGTCATTTATTATTATCAATTATTATGTGCTGTACATAATTGTATGTGCTGGCAGCACGGTAAGTTTGTTTACACCAGTATCACCACAAGTATGAATAATGTGTTGTGCCAAGGCAGCTACAACATCACTAGGTGATAGAAAATTTTCAGCTCCATTACAATCTTATGGGACCACCATCATGTATATATTGTCCCTCACTGACTGACACGTCAGTATGTGGTGCATGACTGTATCTAGCTTAGAGCAGTATTCAATAAATGTAGAACTAAACTGGGGAGTTAGAACATGTAAACTTCCCATAGCTATAAAATAAAAATTCCATTCCAAATTTGTTTTATAATGTGTCACATCTCAGAGACATAGCATGACGGCCAATGTGACTACAGAAATCATTATTACTACGGACCAATTCAGTGGACAAATCTGTAGTGCCATCTATGTATATGAAAGAATCCTGAAGCCACCCCCAAAGTATGCTACAAATTCAATGCAATCCCAAGGGTTTTTGTAAAATTTTTAAATAAAACCGGACAAGCTGATTTTGTTGGGATGGATAGCTCTCCATTTGGAAAATTGTATATAAAAAAAATATAAATGCCAAATGGTTTCAAGATCTAAAAGCCTTTTTAAAAAACAAGCAAACAAACAAAAAAAACCATTATAAGAATATTGGAAGAAAATGTAGGCAATAGTTTTATAACATCAGATTAAAAGGTCTTTCTAAGCAAAACATAAAATCCAGAAACCATAAAATACTGATAGATTGGATTATATAAAATTATTTAAAATTCTGTACCACAAATGACACCATCAAAAGAATTAAAACACAAACATCAATCAGGCTATAAAAGACTATGCAGACTGTATTAGGAGTGCCTACAAATTAGTAAGAAAGTCAATCCTATAGACAAAAAAGGAAAG